AATTCAGAATTCTTAAAATAACAGACACAACATTTCCCCCTGAATAGGCCTAACACGTTCAAATTACGACAACTCATCCCACCAGTTCTCGTAAACAAAGGCAAATTTTCCAGACCCTCAATTTCTCACCACAATATTTGTCTTTCTTCTCTGCCTGCGCATTCATCAACTGATACGCATCAACGATCAGAAGTTGTCAGACCGACAAGTTGCTCTAAACACTGTCGCAGAGAGGGGATACCAACTATTTACACAAAGACCCCCCCCCCCAACCCCCAGATTGAACTCTTGTAGACAACTTAAGAGCTGAGGTAATAAAAAAATATGCCAATCAGTCCAGGTCTCAGCTACATACTGGGGAAAAATAATATTTGTTTTTTATAAACCGAAATTGACATACTCTCAGCCAGAGTTCTGATGGTTAAAAAGCGTCATCAAGTGCATGCTTAGGTATAGGACGACCGTTTGGAGAAGCAAGCGCAAAGGTGAAGTGGCCGATATTTTGCGCGTTACCGAGCGTCGCAACAAAAACAAAAAACATGAGTAATTGCTGGCCAGCTGTTCAATCGAATGGTGGATACATCCATCGGTTTGTCAGTCCCGCTGACGAAATTTGATTAAAAAATAAAATATGGATGCTAGCAGTGGGGCTGACTTTACCAAAGTGCAACACTTTTGAACATCGCGTCTGCCTGACGACATCTGCGAATGACAATACCCCACCTGGTAACCAGATGACAACATTTGCTGCGTTAAATCAACATCAATGATCAGCATACAATGACATTTCACTTGCAGTAGAATCTTTTTCTAATTTTTTTATTTTGCTTTTTTTGTACATAAGTCTTTGTTCCTGCAAACAAAGCCCTTGCGCACTGCAAGATCATATAAATTGGAAATTATATAAATATTGTTTGTGAACAAACATGCCATTGTGTGACAGGAAGAACTGACAATTTCTCCCGATGTCTGGAGGAAAAATTGAATTTGACAGACGCGGGAACTGCACCTCTGAGACATATTATCAAACAAAGAAGCTGATGCGTCAACATCGGACATGAACCGCTACGGTGGAGAATATTCTTTTCCCTCTAAACAAACTAATGTTCCAGGAAACTTGGAAGGTTTAAATATTTGTATTTTGAATGAAAGGTTTGATTAATGTTCTCAAACAGCATTTCAGGGCCGAATAAGCTGGCAATTTTTGACGACAGACTGATGGTTTTGTCAACAACCATGACCATGAATGCATGGTTGGACCATCTATGAATTTGACCAGTTAACGCGGAAGGCCATGTCAACACGATCTGGCACTGTATATTCGCAGTGGCGGGTGACTGGTTAAAATCGTCAAGCTTTCCTTGAGTTTCCGGTGGTGGACGTGTATCCCTTCACGTTCCTCGCGTGCATAATTGACTGACATCAGAATTGATTGCTTTAATTAAGCGGCAATAAAACAATGGGCATCGATGACAAGACGATAAATCAGCTCTTGAATCTACAGAAGCCAACAGTTGGATTGTGTACAAATACCGTAGCGCTAAAGCGATTGCAATGGCCAATAAAAAAAAAAAATTGCCCATTACCCAAAACAAAGACGTGGGCTGCACACTATCTACAGCTGTATAAATGGTATGGTACACGGTACCTTGTGGAGACATGTGCACAATAGGAAACAAAAGATTGTATACCTCTCCGCAGAGCAATTTCTGTCGGTGAATTATACGTTTCCACAAGGTTATCACGAAACAGATGGATTTTTACTCGAAAACTAGGAATTTCCAAGGTGTGTTGTTGATCTGTTGCAAATTGAAGTATTTTATGTAATGGATATTAAGTCTGAATTCCAGCCCAGGAAATTAACTCTGGTTATGAAAAATAGGAGCATTTTGAAAGTACACTTTCAAACTCGCAAATGTTAGTACACGAGAACAAAGACATGACTCCACAACGATACAAATTCCAGTATGTGTGCATGTGTGGCGTGTTCTGTCTGAAGTACAATGTACCAATGTTTGTAATGCTTTCATTGGCCCAAAATGTGTCCACATGTTATGAGTCTAGTAGCAGCGAAGAAAAGAAACATAATCAATCTATTTGTTGATAAAGTGTTGGGAGAAAACTGGGGGTGGGGAACTGGGGGCAAGAGAAAAACTTGGGGGCAAATGCCCCCCCCCCCCCCCCCCCAAGAGGGAAAGGCATTTTACTGATCATGTATTCATCAAAATTTGCTCTTAAAGGGAGCATGAAATGACTTTTTTCTTAGGAATACATTTTGTGCAACTTTCTACTCCTTTTGAATGTATGAAAACTCATGTGACATCCCTTTTTGGTTAATTCAATTTAAAAGTACGTGCTTTAAACAGATTAATTTGTTCATGCTTTTCTGGACAACTGATGGTGATGTTGTCATTTCAGGAAGACACTGTTCAGTTCAGGGAATCTCTGTTCAAATTGTGAACCCAAAAAATGGCTCCTTGAAAACGTTTGCGGGAAAAGTTTGCTCACTGGCTTACAGCCACGCACTGACACAACGACAAATCACCAAAGAAATTTTGTTTTTACGACAGCAAATATCAGAAAGTCTTGCAACATGAATGCCGAAATAGCTGTAATATTGAGATTTCTGCCGGAAACGACATCACACTTTGCTCATGAATATGGAAATGTGCATTAGCATAACAACCGAAAAGGCACCAAAATAACCTTGAAAATGGCAAAACGAAATTGAAAATATAGTTCAATGGGACACAAAGGGCATTTTCAAGGACTACGTTGACAAAATTTACATTGTATGGACCCTTTAAGATTTCCACAGCTTGTCAGTGCAAAAGCACTCAATACTTGTCTCTGAGTGCTCTAGTACCATTGCAGGTGAAATTTCTTGGACCCAAACTTCTCGACCGTAAAACGTCATCAAACAAAGTAGAAATAACCCAAAGGGAATATACAACATTTGCTTTTGCTGTTATTTTCAGAAAAGGATGGGTTTTTTTTGGGGGGGGGGGTTAAGTATTCTATAGCAAATATTGTTATACTGACTTGTTTGACGTTTGTGTTCGTAGATGTTGGAAAACCGAGAAAAACAATCATGTTCCTGCAGTCTGGTTCCTGACCCCACATAAGATGAAACTGAGCAATTTATAGACGTCGGGGGATTGTAAGGTCAGGGAACCAGTCTAGCTGGCTTGTACACGTTCATAGGTGTACAATCGATTGCAAACAAAATGCGGACTAACTAAATATGGTAAATTGGGGACATTATTTGAAAAAAAAGAAGTTTTTTTCCAACCTGGTCGGCAAGCATTGGGAATCGATTAAAAAAAAAAACTTTTTCTTGAAAATGTCAGCACACCAGGTGCCATGATTTTACAGGTTGCTTTAGACTGTCATTCACTAACAGTCCAGTAAAAAGGTATTTCATAACAATTTGTTAGTTTTGTTTTCTGATGTTTGCAAATGTTGTAGATGCCCTTTAAATTGTAAAACAATAAATATTGGACGTGTACTCACGGAATGGTTCTGTGGAATAACACGTCCACTTCAAGCTTCCCGGCACTCTCCAACACAGAGTAACTGGACGCAGCAAATGTAAACTTGCCTCTCAAATCCTCTGAATAAAACAAAAGCAAAATTGTCAGAAATATTTGTTGAGATACAAGGGGGGTATTGTTGAGATGTAAGGGGGGTATTTACCACCCCCCCCCCCAATATTTTGTAAAGACTGCCCTTTTATATTCAAATGCATTTTTTCACCAGGTTTTACCCCCCAATATTTTGTAAAGAGTGCTTTTTTTTAACAAGTGCCCTTTTTTTCTGAACAAGTGCCCTTTTTAAAAGTATGTGGTGGCCTTTTTTGGTACCATCGGCCGTTGCGGGTGCCTTTTTTGTTAATTTTGAGCATGTATCTCTGTTAGAAGGACCATATATTTTCCATTAGTGTGCATAATTGAATAATCGTCAGTTTTGAACAGCGTCCCCATCGACAGATGGTAACCCCCCCCCCCCCTTATTTGATTTTACGAAGGCCAAGTATCCGGGAGAAAAAACGTGTCTACATTTTAGCACGGATGTGCAAGTGCCCTTTGCAAAAAAAATTTACCCCCCAATAAAAATGACTGTGCTATTCCACTACCTAAGGCTGGATTTGATCATCTTGTTGATAAATTTAAACATTAAACTGGCCTGATATTTCATCTTTAGCAAGGACATCTTCAGAGGTAAATGACAGAGGAACAAGAAACAAACATGTAGGGGACGGGGGGGGGGGGGGGGGGGGGGGGGGGAGTGGGAGAGGGGGAGGGGGGAGCAGACCAGAAGTGGGTAAACCCTGCCGCACACAAGAGCTACGTGCAGTGAAAAAAGTCAAATTCGAGGCTGTTAGCTCAGCACGTAGATCACAAAATATCCCCGTGTGCGGTGAATTTTTGCTGAGTTTTCTGTCTTGCGAAACCGTGAGACAAATCTATCCTGTTTGATTTCTTTCAAATCATGAAGCGAAAAACTCACCGTGTGCGGTCAACCTGAGCAGCCTTAACTAGCCAATGAAAGCACGTTATTCTCGTTTGTCGGTCGCAACAAACGCCAGCAGGCTTTATAAGATTTGCCCACAAAAAATCTGAAAATCATGTGTAAGGAGTACATGATTTCATTGGCTAGATTTTTGTCCAGGTGAGACAAAAATCACTTCTTTTACATAATTGGCATATTCTCAGCAACTCAACGTGCTGTTTCCATGATTTTTTTTCAGTATTTGAAAGAAAATTCTCTCAGCTTGAATCTGATATCCAAAACATAAAAATTCACCAATCAGTTTTTAAAAAAAAAGGCAAACGTTTCAGGGTTGCATTTTGGGGGGTCACCTTGTTTACTGGCCCAAAATGGGTCAATGATCGGGCACACAATACAAAAACAATTTCGTTCAAAGGCTGAGAAAATATCTGACCTGTTATGGGAACCTCCGAGCTGCCATCTTGCATCGTGCGGACTTTATCCACTAGCTCCATCAGGCGGGGGTGGCTCGCAGAGGAAGGCTTGTACCCGTTCACGCGCTTCTTACCCCCAAGATAGAACGGACTGCGGCGTGCCGAAACCTAACCGTGAAAAATGGAAAGAAAAAGTGAAAAAACAAAACAAAATCATGTCAACACCTTGAATGTTGCAGCTCAGTTTACATGAATCGCAAACAAGTTACGATTGGTTTTTTTCATCGTTTGGCATACGTGTATTCATAAGATGGAATCTGCATTGGGATGATGTAAATTCAATATTAGGTTTTTCCCTTCATCGATGTACACTATAAACACTGTAAAGTGCGTTACCTCCCGGGTGAAAGTGAGAAACTGTAATTACAGTATGAATACTGTAATTGCTGTACCAGCTGCTACATCAGATTCGAACCAGCCCGCCGATCCCGCAAGCTCGGTGGTCGAGTGGTAAGACGTCTGCACCAGAAAGCAGGAGGTCGTAGGTTCGAGTCCCACCCGAGTGATTTTTGTCTGACGTTGACTCGGGAGGTAACACACTGAGTATACAGTGTTTATACGTGGGTGGAGGGCAAAACCTAAATATTGAATCATGTAAGTTAGTGAATGTAAGTTGTATGGATTAATTGTAATCGATTAATGAAAGTGTTACTGAGTGCTTCAGCTACTACCTGTAATGAGAGAATGAATTAATGAGGTCAGTATGAATTTGGAGCGGAAATAAAACAAGGTTAGTAATTAGTAATTTTGAATATGAATTAGAGATTAGAAGCAGATCGCTTTGTTACGCCAGTGGTGGTCCTGCAAAATCCATGAAGAAGTTTGCAGGATTTGGAAGAATTATTGAGGATCGTAGAGTTCTGTCACACTACTTAACATTGGGCTAAATTCTAGTTACCTTGCAAGCAAGAGAAACGTTGGGGGATTCCGATACAAATCTTCCTTTTCAAGGTGGGAGGGGGGAAATGGAAGGGCTGACGGACTGCATAGCTGCAGGCCCGTCGCCAGCCCTAGGCGTCGGGGGGGGGGGGGGGGGGGGAGGCATAGTACTAACTGGGTGGGCCCACTACCATAAAAATACAAAAATGCACATGGTTTTGCCGTTGGGGCTGGGGGGGGGGGGGACACACAATTGCTCGCCAAGGGGGGCACGACCCCACCAGGCCTGGGCCTGCCTAGCTGGCCAAGGCAAATTCCCAAAAAAATGGAGGGAGGAAGGGGGTACGGCCGATGACCAAACTCTAGGGCTGTTTTTAATTTATTTTTTGATACGTCACCAAAAACAGGGAGGAAAACGGGCCGAGAAGATAAGCAACATCATTTATGATTTTAAAAACCAGATGTCTTCACTTTTCTGGTTTGGTTATTTTTTTTTAAAAAGGCACCTATATTCCTGGATCAACCAGTGCACCAAACAAGTGCAGTTGGATTCTCGCTCAAAAGTGGATTTTGCAGGATTTAAGAAAACAGTTGCTAGCTAAAATGGTTAAATTTATGATGTTGTTAGTCACAGCGAAGAGAAGTTTAGTCCATGAGGAGAATTGTAGGGTGTAAAGGGGTGGGGTAAGATGAATTGGTTCAAATTAAGGTCAACAAATTTTGACCCTTTCATCCGAAACGGAAATTATAATGACCGTGAAGTAGTCCCATCACCCTCAAAACCACTCTGATAAAAATACTGCAGCAAGTTGCAGACAAGGCATACATACAGTTGCTGTCATGAATATTGTTGATGTACCGTAATGTGGAGCGGCCCCTAAGTAGAACACTCTCTTTTTTTCTTAATTCAGAAAAATGTTCACCAAAGCCACACTTTATATAGTCTGAGTATCAACCATTGTCCATCGGAGCGTTCTCCATATCCAACATCTGATGTACATGTTCGCATATCTGAATAATGCGCATTATGTGACCTGCGCTAGCCAGTCAGAGTTGACTTTAGAAATTGTGACGTCATTTCAATCAGAAATGTGGACTAAGCTTTTGATTGGTCAAGTTTAACTGACGCATTTTTGTTAAACAACAATGGGTTATGGAAGACCCGATAGAAGGCGCCCGCTGAATGGTCACAATCTCGAGGTCAAGACGCAGTCTCGTTTTGCATAATTAACTGCCCAATCTGCTCCCGTATCATAGACACTTAGGGGATATTCCATATAGACTACGTTTTGCAAGGAATCTTCACAAAAAAATGGAGAGAATTTTTTCTCTCATTAAACCCCCCCCCCCCCCCCAAAAAAAATTTAAGAAAAATAAAAATTGAGTCTCAATAGAACTGGCTTTTATTGTGTGGTCGCATGAAGGCAGCCATGCATGTTTGAGCCTGTCACGGTTACCGTGGCAACCTTGTCAAAGAGGAATTAAGCCCTGGAGGCTAAGTTAATGGATTCGGGGAGACGCTCATTACCGCCTAATGGCTCGTAAAATAACAACGGCAACATTGATGGTGACGTTCTCGGCAGTTTTTTTTTTTACGTCCATCGAAGCAACCGGAAAGTTATACCTTCCACAAGGGACGCATTCTCCGATAACATTCCTTCTGATGGATCATTTAATAGACGAATCCAGGCATATCATCACTGTACACGCGCGAGGCCCCCGCCAATGGAGAAACCCTTGTGCGATCCACGCTTAATTACAAAGCAACTGTCTCAAGATTCAGAAAGCAACTCGCCCTGTCTGCAGAAATGCCAGAGAATTTCTGGAGAGAATCTACCAATGCGAAAAAAGGCTTGTCAAAGCAAAATAAAACGAACAAAACTCAGTGAACAGAGAACAAAAATCTGCTAAGGCCAAAAAAAAAAAAAAAAATCAGCTTCCGATTTGAAAACAGGGTAGGTGCATTTGTATAGGTAGGGAATTTTTTTTTCTGCTGATTTTTTTAAGTGTACGATCAAATGGAGGCGTCTGCGTGAAGTCTAGGGTAAAAGGCTGAAATTCATGGTTTTGGGTGTTTTTCTCTCATTTTTCCCTTAAAAAACATTAGGGGTAGTGGCTGTCAGAATAGGGTAGGTAGGGAAACCGGAAGCAGAACTTTTTTTTTTTTTGGCCTGATAATCTACTTGTGTTTCTACGCTGCCTCTACGTGTCTACTGACTGACTTTCAGGCAGGCACTCACCCTCCTAAACTAGGAGTAAATGTGCACGCAAAACTGTAAAAATATGGAAGACGAAGTTAAGCATGCAAGTTAAGCTGAATTCCACACAAAATATTTTTTTTTTTTATCTAAGGTAATAACATACAACATTCGCTTTTGCTGTAGTTGATCATCAATAGATGGATTTGGGTTAAGTATTTTGTTACACTGACCTTTTTAAAGCTTTGTATTCATAGATGCTGGAAAAACCAAGGAAAAAAGTCATTCTTGTATAGTCTGGTTCCCTGACCCTATACTTCAGACGCAGTAGAGCAAGTTATAGACGTCTGGGAATTTTCAGGTCAGAGAACCAGGCTAGCTGGCTTGCGCCCGTTCACGGATGTGTAGCCGATCGCTAACAAATGTGGACTCACTAAATTTGGGGTTAAATGGGGGCAGTACATTCATTAGAAAATAAGTCAGTTTTTTTTCCAAACGATAATTGGCCGACCATCGCTGGAAATTGATACAAAAATTCCACTCTTTCTTGAATATGACAGCACATCTGTTGCCATGATTTCACAGGATGCTTGAGACTATCATTCACTACAGTCAAGTAAGGTATTTCATAATAATTTGGCAGTTTTGCTTTTTGATGCTTGCAAATGTTGTATATTACCTTTAAAGGGAAAAATACAACATTTGCAAACATCAAAAAATAAAACTACCAAATCATTTTGAAATACCTTGCTGGACTGTTAGTGAATGACAGTGTAAAGCATCCTGTAAAATCATGGCACCTGGTATACTGTCATTTTCAAGAAAAGTGCTATTTTTGTATCAATTTCCAACACTGGTCGGCCAATCAGCGTTGGAAAAAACTGGCTTTTTTTCAAATACTGTCCCCAATTGACCATCGCACTTGTTTGCAATCGATTATACACACCTATGAACGGGTACAAGCCAGCTAGACTGGTTCCCTGACCTTACAATTCCCCAATGTATGTAAACTGCTCTGTTTCTTCTTATATGGAGTCAGGGAACCAGACTACAGGAAAATGATAGTTTTTTCTTGGTTTTTATAGCATTTTCGAACCCAAAACCTCAAAACAGTCAGTGTAACTATATTTGCTATGTATTTCCAAACCCCCAATTCCATCCATTTCTGAAAATTACAGCAAAAGCGAATGATGTATATTCCCTTTAAGGATCATAGCACTTTGGAATAATGAATTTAAAATGGATCCCCTACACAGATGAATATGCCATGCCAGGCAATGAATAAATGAACTTCCCATGATGTTAATGAGGCATTGTAAAGGACATAACCACTGGTGCATGCAAAATGTTATTAGAGTTCTATTCTTGGTAAAAACGACTCTTTTTCAGTTGATATCTATGCATATTTGATTGAAAAAAAAATATGGGACGCAACAGTATGACATGCAGCATGCATGTCAGCCTATGAGTTCCTACATGCTCAGGCATCATGTTTTTTTTCTTCAAATTCTATTATAAACAAGTACTTGCAAATGATAGAAATACAATAATCCTTTCTTTTTTTAGCTTTTTTAAGCTCTGCAGAAGTTTCTACATACGTCACTTGGTGGTTTGTCGGTTTGTCATTAAAGCCAGAGTCCATCATTTGCAGCTATCCAAAAAAGTAACTGGCATAATTATTGTTGAAAAACATACTGGTTGAAAGATAGTAAGGGGACTAAACTCCCTGTGAAATTATTCTTTTTGGCAATTAAGCTCTCATTTTGAAGAAATCAACGAAAGAAGGCATTTCCAACGGTGCGTCTTAAGAAGCACCGTAGGAAAATTTAAATTAGTAGTTCGTTTTGTTATTCGGCGCAGCACGCGCAAGCATTGGCACGACGCACACGCGCGCGCGGTTCCTATAATTCGTCGGATCAGTGAGCGACATCGCGTAAAGCTGCAATTCAAAACAATTCAAAACATGATTTAGCAACTTTTGATTTGAAATTGAGATCTTAGAATGCTGTTTTTCTCGGAATATACAGCTGA